ATTTACATTCTATCAGATTGATTTTATCTGAAGCAAGTCTTTATACAGTTGTTACAGATTTGGGATATTAGCTGTGCCCCCTCTTTTATCCCCCCAAAAAATAAAAATAAAAGTCAGGCTGCCACGGCTCAGGTGAATCTTCCTGACATGCCCTACTTAGCCCATCCTGCTGCCAACGGGATTTATCTAAGCCTTTCTATCAAGAAAGACTTTCCTTAGTCAAAACAATAAAGAGGAAAGGTGCCTTAGTTTTGCTTGCCCAAGGCCTGTAATATACAGAACTTAAGAACATTATGAGGCAGCAAAAGAACACAAAGGGTAGCTAAGCAACTGTGCAGTCTTGCAAACAGAGGAGACTTTCGTGAGAAAGTCCCCTTTAAACATGGCCTCCAAATGTCCAGATGGAAAACTAACCCCCATCACCATAGTCTTTATTTGATTATTCACATAAGCTACTGCATGTGTGTCGTTTTAGATTGAAAGGCAGTGCATAAATAATTTTCCATAATAAGTGAATAAATAAACTGCTATTTCCTATGATATTGCTCAGCTACACATGAGTCAGGAAACAATTCATATCTATAGCTAGTATCTTCTTTCGCTTTTTGATTGGGCTTGCAATTTTACATTTTCAATATTTCCCAAAATCATTTGAAATTATTTCAGAAATTCTAAAGACCTTTCCATTTTGGCTGGTCTCCAGTTGCAGAAGGAGCAAACTATCGCCGGCACAGGTAGTTTTTTGTCCGAACAGATTTGATAAAGCAGTGCAGGGATGCCTGCAAGTCATGCAAAAGACTTAATTTTGTTGGCAAGATCTTTTTTCGTATCAATTGAGTATCTGTACAGTGAGATTTCTGAAAAATGTCCATTAGGGAGGAGCAGAGGACACAAGGCTGAGCAAATGGTTGCCTAGCAGTGGCTTATGAGATGACTCCTCATGATACATTTCCCCACAAACCCAAGTGTGCTTGCATGAAGAAGTACGCGTTCCCAGACGGTAACGAAACTGTGCAAGCATCCATTTCTCCTTATTACATATGTAGATGGCAACTCTATTTCTTGTTGATGAGCTGACATCCCTTTCTCAGGAATAGACTCTTGCTCAGGAAAACATGATGTGAAGTTTGTTGCCAATGGGGCTGAACTTGGAAACTTCCAGAACATCTCAGGATAAATCCCATTCATTTCATGCCCTCAAAGTCTCTTCCTACTTTTTCTCTGCCCCTCAAATCCAGGCCACCATTAAATAGCTTCACAAGAAATTGTGAGTATGAATCCAATTTCATCAAAGTTCCTCATCTTTTTTTGTAAGCTGTCCCAAGACGCTAGTAGTGGACGGGTTAGAAAAGCTTTTAATTAATAAATAAATAAATCTAGCAAATGATTTAGCAGATACAGAACTTTGCCAAATAAGAGACTTGGGCAAGCTGTGGCCCACCAGTTATTTTGGCCTACAACTCTCATCTTGCCTTGCCATTGGCAATGCTGGGTAGGGATAATGGGAGCTATAAAACCGATCTTGAAGGGCCACAAGTTGCTTGTCGGTTCTTGAGGTGATGCTAGGAAGCAAGACAAGAGATCTTCCACAGTGCAAGGCTGGTAACTACTAAAAATGTGTAGTTCAATAACTGAAGGTCCCTTGGGGTTTTCCATCAGGCATGTGCTAGGCAAGATCTCTAGGGTAATAACAAAGAAATCCCCAGATACTTTAGTAGAAAGCTCCCTGTGAGTAGAGAGCTACACTGACAAAGGCAGTCTTTGGGGTGGGGGGGAGACATGGCCTTAAAGAAGATGCTTTTTATTAGCTCTCTCAAGATTTCCTTCTCCTGCTAAGATGGAGTTTTTGCTCCTTAGGCTCACAGTAATTATGTGCTACAGACTGCCAAGCTAGAGTCCTCAAAGGCCTATGGCAATACAGCCAACAGAGTTTGAATCCTTTACGTTTGAGATTGCATTTGTAATTAAAACATTGTTCCTAGCAAATGCACCATGCATAGGATGAATGTACTCAAACTGGCATGTATGCTTCTGAGCAATGATCCATAAGAATCTCTAATGAAACATGAGAGGAAACGCCCGCTCCGTATCTGAAGATATTGCAGTGTCTAAAGCAAAAGTCTCTCATACCATAAGAAAATGACATCCAGAATAGCAGCTACCCAGGGGAGGGTTTGCGATCCAGTATACTGCAATGCAAAGCCCAAGACTGAAGCCCCATGGGGTTCTGTGGGGCATTTTTCTAGACAAATAAACACAGGATGGATACACTGCATCCCAGTCCTATCTCCATGTCAGTATATCTCACTATGTACAATACAACCGCCTGCCAACCAAGTGTGAACAGGATGGATGGCTCAGTCTCGTTGAGGCATCATTTTAAATAGCCCAGGCCTGCTGCAGCTTAGAGATACCAGAAAGTGGGACGTATGAAACAAGACAGAGAAAATACAAAGTTTGGCTGAATCGAACTTACCATTTTAAAGTAATGTCAATTTTGAGATGCATCAGAGCAGGCATGCTCACACTGTAGTGCACATTCTGGACAAAATCTGAACCAAATGTCCCAAAGAACCATAGAGCTGAAGGGGCCACTGAGGACGTCAAGCCCAAGCACCTGCTCAGGGCAAGAATCCAGTTTACAGCATCCTTTACAAATGGCTGTCCAGTCTCAGCTTGAATAACTTCCACAATGGATAACACCCCCCCCCCCACCCGAGCAACAAATTATATTGCCTGATTGCTCTGAGCTTTAGGTTTCTCCTGATGTTTAACTGAAATCTGTCTTCCTGTAATTTGAACCCATTATTTAATGTCCCAACATCTCAGATGAGAGAAAACAAGCTGCAGACCTTCATTTCCCCCACTTCACTCCACCACCTGAGTCTTTTCTTCTCAATATCCAGTTCCTGCCATTTTTCCTTGTAGGTTCTGTGTTTCCTGATCTTTCATTCCTTCTGGTGTGGTGTCCAGAATTGGGCAGAGTATTCAAGGTGTGGTCTAACTAGTACAGGGTGGAACTACTACTTTCCACTGGTCAGACCTCACCTTGGATATTAGTTAGAACCACTTTTCCTATGCTCGCTCGCTCTCGCTCTCTGTGGGTGAGTGAGTGAGTGAGTGAGTGAGTGAAATACTGCATGTGGGCAGAGCTCAATTGGCAGGTCTTTCCAGCTTGCCCAACTTGCCATGGAGGGGGATGTCAATTGGCTAGGGAAAACTCTCACATTTTGCCTGGCTGTTGCAGATGCAGTATTCACACACAAGCACACATGCAGGCGCATGCACAGTCCTACCCCATATGAGCTCATGAGCTATCAGCATGGTGAAACAACTCCCCTAGAGCCTCACACATGAGGGATTTATGATCAGTTTATAAAAAGCAAAATGAAAATGGATCTTCAGCAGTAGACTGCTTATATAACAGAAAACAGAAGTCTGAAAAACTTGAACTAGACCGGAATAGGATTTAGGGCAGCTGCCTCTGCTCTGACTGAGGTGAGAATAATTCTATACCCAAACTTCTGGGATAAAATCTGTCTGCAGGTAGCCTTCACTTTATCCCAGGAACTAGAATGTTCCATGTTTCATTTACTTGGCAGTTCTATTTGCCCTCATGGTTTGTATTAGCAGGAGATAAGATGTAAATCCCTTTAAAGTAAATACATACCAAATATTAACATTAAAAGACACAGGATTACATCATGACTTGACTGAACAGAAAGTCAGTTTTGAGGTTGTCCCAGTTTTCCTAAGTACAAACTCACACACAGCATCATAAAATGCAGCCAGGAAGTGCTGGACTTCAAACTGTTGTGTCAAAATGAACTGCAATTTTATTCTCATTTCTTACAGATTTTGCAGAGGGAAAGCTGCTACCAGCAAACTGACGTCGAGAAAAAAACCATTGCAAAATAAAATGTCTGGCAGGCAGAATGAGCAATAGATGGGCCAGAATAGCCCTTGTGGCTTCATGAGCTTGCATTTCATCTCAGATTGCAACAGAGGCTGATGGAACAATTATTTTACTGGGAGCCACTGGGTTAGGGAATCTTGTAACAGCAAACAAAGGTCTCTGTGTAAGAGAAGGCTACTTGTGAAGAACTCCAAATCCTTGAGGAACTGAGGTGTCGCCTTGGCAAGTCATATCCCCAGACGTGAAACTGGTAGCTTGGAATTTTCCTGAAAAACTTTACTCTTCTTAGCTGGAATATTTTAAACACTCCCAAAAATAGTAACCAAAGACTTGACAGGTTTGTCTGGTCCACAGTAAAGTGGCAGTAAAGGTCCCTGGCAACTCCAGTGTAAGATCTCAGCAAACAAGAACTGGGGGAGACCTGACTGGGACTCATGTATGACCAAATCTGAGCTGTTGCTATTCAGAGTTGGCAAGACTAGACCAAGATAGGCCAAAGTCCAGATTTGATATAAGGCTGCTTTGTAAGCTCCACCGGAACAACAAGCTCTTTCTTGAAGGAAAAAAATGTTGCAGGCTACCCACACTGCTTTGGGAAGCACATGTCATGGACTGTCTACACAGTCAGCTGCTCAACAGCCACTCTACAAGTACAAACTTTTCATTTGCACTTGTAAAGTTGACAATGCTGCCCAGAATGGCCAGCACTGCACTGATATTTTTAACATTCATGTGAAAATTTACAGTGTTGTTTATGTAGGTAATTATGATCCATGTGTGAAAATGTATTGCCTTAAATAACAGGGATAAATCATGCATTAAAGTCACAGTGAACTACAAATGCAATAAAAATATATTCAAAAACAGAACCAATAAAGGAGTATGCGTGGGATACTATTTGGTTCAGGGCTGGGCTTGGAGGAGCCTAGTTAGTCCAGGATTTGGACTAAGTTACAAGATATCAATCCATCTTTTGATGTCAAGATTGTGGCCTTAACTAGTTGAAGAAACACCAATAAAAGAAACTCTGGCATTGTTGGCAAAAATGGCATGATTACTGCCCAAGTAAAATGTATGCAGTATATCAAGTATTCCTGGAAAACTTCCAGATCTTTATTTATAATGTTTCTACTTAACCATATCAGACCAAGATAGTTGTTTATTCCTGGCATTAACCTCTAGTCAGCCCAGACATTGGAAAAAGTCACAGTTCAGTGACAACCAAGTGAATGACATCAGATTGGCTTTTTGCCTAAGTTTGCTGCTTCTCCCGCTGTTGCTCTTGGACAGACTTTGAATCTTCCCATGGACGGGGACCTCGAATGTTCTTCCAATCCTCATAGGTGTCATTTTTCATTTTCTGTAGGAATAAGCAGAAAGAAATACCAATATACAGGTTGGAAAACATTGCTAGATCCATCAGATATCCTTGACTCCAATAAATGAGTTGCAGCTTCCTTGAAAGTCATGACAAAAAATTCTAAAGGAAATGTAGGGCAGTATCCAAGCAGTGCTTGTGTCCCTGTTGACTCTTTGTGTCCCACCAATTCCCATCCACAAACAGTGAGTTCTGCTGATTCCACTGTGCAGGTGGGATGCACTGTATACCCAATGGGGATTTAGGGCTTCCTAGACAAAGCCCCAAAATGAACAAAAACTGCATTTCTTGATCAGGACAGGTAAGCAGAGCTTCCTTTAGCAAGTTCCACTGATCTACAAATAAGCATTTTCCACTTGGTTTGGCTTGCCCCTGGAAGTGCAACGTTTCTACTCCTACTGAAGTGAAAGGGAATTGCATACTGCAAAGAAATTGATGGGGCAATAAGGAAGCTGGCAAGAAGTTGCAACAACAGATTTGGGAACCTGTCCCAAGCCTGCGAATGGGTAACAAAAGAAAGGGAAAAATTGTAGAAACCTTTATACAACTCTTTAAAAAAGGAAGACTAGTGTAGATCCAGCTTCACAATGCAAGGTAGGCCTTGTCCAAAGGGCATGAGAAATGAAGGTATATTCTTTTCTCCGGGCAGAATCAATCTAGTAGATTCTTTGAGCAGTATCTGATTAATGCTGTCCATCTGATAGCAGAATGGACACCACTGGTGGAATGGATTCCCCCACCCAGAAGTGCACTGAACAACCCCAAATCTGATCCAAAGGGAAGCCTCTCCAAATAAGACTGGGGGGGGGGGCATGGAGTGGAGATAAAGGGAAATCCTTTTGTGTGAGCAGAAGTCTGTATGACACTACTATATTTTTACACTGCTTTTCAATGATGTACTTACCAAGTAGTTTATCATCTCAGAAGCAATAAACATTCTAAACTAGAACAACAAACTGATGACAGGATTGTACCTAAGCAAGGGTTACACTAACAGATCTTAAAGACGAGGCAGGGGAAGGTGTTCAGTATGGAAGAAGATGCTTTTTGAATTCTTGACCCTAAATCTGATGGAAAACTGTTTCCACCCCAGGCCACCCGATCTTGTTCAAAGACATTTTAGCTAGATCTACTTATGTTGTACTGGTGAGGTCAAAATGTAACAGCAGCATCTGCCAATATTTTCCTTTAAACTTTGCATTTACTTAACTAAGGAAGCAAGCTATTCCGACCCCAGTGTAACTTCTGAAAAGAGGTCTCTCCCCTGTAGTTTAAGTTCTATGTGGATGAATGAGAATTTTGTTTTCAAATATCTGGCCAATAGTCTTCTAGGCTTCAGACACTTTGGTTTGATGTGGCAGATCAAATTTAGCTTCTCAGAAGCTCAGTGCAGCTTCCTCAGTAGACATCCTGGAGAAGTGCAGAGATTCCGCTGGGACCCACAGGTGTACCATGGAAAGAGGATGTGTGGCAGTTCCTCCCAATCCAGAGCAGCCAGCATGAAGGCCAGAGGGAACACTGACTGGAGGTAAGTATTACTTCACGCAAGGGTTGCCCAACATCTATAGCGTAGACAACAGAACTAGGTTGCAGAAATAAGAATCTTTTCATAACGAAAAGAACAGAAAGCTGGATAAATGGTGGGAGGAGGGGAAGAAAGACAAAAAAATCACCCCATACTTCCAATTGGAGTTCATTTTTGGTATGATTCCTTTTATTAGATGTATACAAGACAAAAAAAGGTTGACTTGAGAGAATAATAAAATTGAAAATGCACACCATGGCATGGTATGGCATGCCTTCTGTTCTTTCTTCCTGGGTCAATTAGTGTAAGAGATCATGGCTTGCATTTTCAGTAGTAAAGACAGAAAATACTATTTGTAAATAATGTTCAGAAAAGTAAACTGAACCAATAATCAGGAAAAAAATTACAAGCATCTCAGAAATGATATGTTGACATTTAAGATTTAGAACACCTGTTCAGTGTTGGCTAAGGCAATTAACTAAAACGTTTGTGCTTCCTCCCAAGAACCTGAAACATTTTCCCTGAAAAGAGCAACCCAGTGTATAACATGCCTGTTAAATGGCGTAATAAATACTGAGAGTGGGGGAACAAAGGAGCGGGAATCTAAAATATTGACTTTCACTCCCTGGCCTTGCAATGGGTTGAAATATTAAGAGATCTTGGTATTAAAAGCCATAGACTTATATATTGCAAGACATCACCTTATCAATTAACATTCACTGCTGAACTTCTAAAACCCAAACAATATTTGAACAGAGAATACAGAAGACAGGCCCAAAGCTGAGGGGTCACCAACTGAGGTGTTTAACAGCAACAAATAAAATTGAAAGGAAATGTGAACTGGGACCAACATAATCAATTGCACCATTCTATTTATAAAACACTTTTTTTCTAGCCAATCTCCTAGAGACAGTTTAAGTAAGGTCTCCCATGATTGCTTTCAAGTTAGTACCTCAAGTCACCTTTCATCTGGTTTTGTCATTTTACACTCCCCAACAAAAAATCTTTTGTTGCTGCTATTACAAACCTCATTTTTCATCCTGATGTTTTTTAAAAAGAAAAAGAAAAGGTGGTGGTGAGGGGGAAGCTGCCATTTTTTCCCTTGTGGCTGAGAAAGGTTAATATCTTTGGAACTCTGTGTCCAGTCCTTAAAATTTTCCTCCAGTAAACATCCTTTCTTGAATAGACAGATTCCTTACAGGTCAGAGCTCCTGTATTGTTTTTCAGTAATTTTATACAGAGGGAAAAATCAGTTGATGCAATTCCTTCTCAAACATACACATAGTTTATAAACAGAAATCACCTAAAACAGACTGTTTCATTTTTTTAAAATTCTGCACTTGTATTAGTACTCCAAATAATTACTTCTCATACTTTTAACCAACTGATCCCACAAAAGGCAGAGCTGCAATGTTTAGCCAAGTAATCAATTAAGTTTGATTAAGTTGATTTAAAAAGCAGATCAGGCAGATTTTTACGTTAAAAAAAAAGCCACAACACAACACACACAGGTACTTAAATGGGATGCTTCTTGTAAAACAGCTTGTCTGGCAACGTAACACCTGAAGTGTTACTGATAGTCCTTGTTAATCTGTGTATGTGAACCAGTGCGCATATACATGACTCAACAAACCTGGAAAGGATCTTCCACTGAGGCATGGTGAGCACTTGAGCAACTTTTCACAACAGCCTGCTAACATCAGAATCCGCTTGTTCCTAGCAACCATGAGCTTCTTGCTTTAGGGCAGGGGGGCAAAAAGTGCAGCCTATGGGCCACATGCAGCCCACCGAACCATTTCTGGTGACCTGCTAGACTCCCTGCATCTGCCCCCATGAACTTTCCATCTTTAATTAATTCCTTAAAACTGAAAGTATCGATCAGCTCAGATGTCTTTAAATTGGGTAAAATGGACACTGACAGCAACAAGGATGGGAGGCAATGAATCAGGAATAGGGATTTATTTTCCTGTCAGCAGCTACATCACCTCCGTGAAAAGCTGTTGGCTCTGTATTCCAGCAGCGGGTATAGCAACAGCTGAAAGTGGGCAGATGCAAATCTAGGATGCAAGTTCATCACGCAATAACAAAGATATTCATGTCCAGACACTTGGTTTCCTTCATCAGTTTGCAGCTGGGATACTGAGTACACAGAACCCAGAAATCAAGGCTGAAAGACTTGGGAGATTTGATCAATCTATTACAGGTTTCCCAACCCACCCGAGCATCTTACTTGTATATATTGGATGGTATGGTTGCAGCTAACACCAGTTCAATGTCCAATATGAAGTTCTAGTGTTTTGCATTAGACAACTCAATTTGCCCCAAAACACAGAAACACAGCGAGTCAGAAGGGGTCTCTTGGGCCATCTAGCCTGACCCCTGGCACGAGCCGGCTGTACTCATATAATGTCCAACATGTGGGTGTCCAATCTTTCCTCAGTGATGGGGCCTCCACCATCTCCTGTGGAAGTCCATTCCAAATCCTAGTAGACCTAATATCCTAGTAGGCCTAGTAGGGATAAACAATAGAATGTATTCTGTACTGATTTGTTATTTAGAAGTTGTGTGAAATACTGTTCCACTGGGAAACAGGAAAGAGATGATGAACAAAAAAAGGGCTTCAGGCATTCATGAAAAGAATCTAAAATAGAATCTTATTATGAAGCTACACTAAGAAGAAATGCCTTTTCTGCTTCTGGTAAATGCAAAAATTAACTTTTGATAAGGAATCCTACCATTAGACAATAGCCCTTCTGGTAAGATATTCCATAATAGAAATGAAACAATGTAAGTAATTATATTCCATAATTGGGTGAATTGGAAGGAGAAAAGAGACATAAATAGCCAGGTAGATACCATGCTGAGGTCCTTACGAGGCACCAACATACTTGGTTCATCTATGGCTTAAAACTTTGTCTTCATATGAAGCAGAATGAGCTGAATCTAGGTAGAAACCATTTCATGGGTCAGCTGTAAGATACTATTTTTAAATGCTTCACTACTCACCCCCCCCACCCCCACACACACACACAAAGGTCCATACAATAAGAAAACTGGAATAACAGGAAGAAAGAAGGTAGCGCTAGAATCTGAGCTCTGATGCTCTAGTGCTATTCTTTTTTTCCCTTTAAACCACTTACAACCTTAACTGGTGCAGACTACTCGACCAGTGCTTTATCACCTAATTCTGCTGAAAGAATGATGCCAGGGCCAGAACAGGTACGCTCCATAAACACAGTTAAAAAGGAAGGGTGGACAGAGTAGGCTCCTTCCTTGATTTGAAGTGTGTCACTTAGCTCTCCCCTTAATTCCTAGTACCCAGCTCCAAACTTTCACTTCCTTTCCTACTCTAGCTTCAGCTAGGACTGTGCCTTTCCCTCTCCTTGCTCCAGTTTGTACATTTGCCAGAGCAAACAATTCACTTAGTCGATGGATGAGCAAGCTTAACCCCTTGCTT